CCGGTTCGTTTGGCGCCGGATTTAGGTCCCTGGGAGCGCTAGTTGTTACGTTCCCTTCTCTACTAAGATTAAGGAAACTTTATTTTTTATTTTTATTAGTAGCTCTTACTCTACAAAATATTGAAAGGATGCGCAAATATTATAATAAGAAGAAATGTTAGTCTAAATTAGAAATTATAATAAACTCCTTAGAACCTAATGGTTAAATTGCGTAGAGAGTTTATTCTTAAGTATAAATGCGTGCAGCGTGAGTAGGCTGACAGGGGGGTTAGGTTAACAAAATAAACTAAACAAGTATATAGAGGTATAAAGTATATAGGACGTAATCGTAATGCACCCGGTAAATACTTAGTTTGGAAATTAATGATAGTAAATAAATAAGGTTTTATAGGTGAGGGCCGTGCTTCGAATTTAATCTCCTATAGTTGCCTATTAACTTTAGTACGTACTACGTCTTGTAGTTAATCCTGTACTACGTCTTATAGTTAATCCTATACTACGTCTTGTAGTTAATCCTAATCCTCGTACTACGTCTTATAGTTAATCCTCGTACTACATCTTGTAGTTAATCCTATACTACGTCTTGTAGCTAATCCTCACTACGTCTTCCGCGAATGAACTTACTCGACCTGCCCCTAGAGGGGATAGACGTCGACTCTAGCTAACCGCGCCCTTAGAAGCGCTAGGCCACCGCACTACCTAACCTAGTTATACTAAGTAGCCCCCCATAGGCGCGCCAGCCGGTTACCTTTAGCTCTACCCTTTCTTCTACCGGCCTTTTCAATCTAAGACTTCGTAAGCCTAAGACGTTAACCCTAGAACAGGGCCGTTAGGGCTAGCCAGCCCCTTTTCCTACAGTTACTAAAAACTCTATAGAGAAGCTAGACCCCTCTAGGATCTATATAGCGCTCCGCGCTATCCTTAAAGAGGACGAGAAAGAACAACGCGCTATAACAACGGTACTAGCTATAGTAGCTAGTACGTTGGACAAATCACTCCGCCCCTTTAATAAAGGCGCTTAGGCTAAATAGGCCTCGACAGTACGAAGCGCCCTAGCTAGTACGATAGCCGGCCTAGCCCGGTCCGGTAGGGCACCGGTACTACTACCTAAATTAACTAAGGGACCTATCATCGACCTTACTAGTTAAGTAACTATAGAGGTAGAGCCTACTATAGCTACGCCGATTAGCTACCTAAACGGTAAGCCACCTATAGCTAGAAAGGAAAAGGAAAAGGCGGCTCTAAGGACCTACGCTACGGCCGTAGCGTCTAGACAGCCCTAGTAGATAGTAAGCTATAAACCGGAGCCTCGGAAGGCCCTAGGTATCCTACCCGTTAAGGTAAGGAAAGCGGATAATAGGGTCTTCCTCCGGATACCTAAGCACTACGCCTAGAAGAACCGCCTGCCGGCAGAAATAAAAGTTACCCTATAGGATATTACGCTGCTTACGGCACGTAATATCGTCTCTATCTAGCAGGTCCGTATAGGCTTTGCTATTAGACCTCGTAACGATATAGCTCGTATATATCTACTCGCACCCCTACCTATTCTAGAACGGGAGGGACTCTAGGTCGAGTAGACGCAGGAGTAGTACGGATACGCCCTTAAGGGGATTCTAAAGCAAATTTATATACTTACGGGAGAAAGGGCTATTACGGACTATCTTAGCGAGGAAGTTTACGCTAACATAGGGCAGTACCCTATTACTATCCGCTAGAGTAAGTATACAGACCCTAATATACTATACGGTAGCTAGGTAGTCTACCTCCCTAAGCCGGCCCGCCGGGTATTCCGGGTCTTCGACTCCTAGGTTACGGAACCCCTACGTCGCAAGACGCAACAACCATTAGAAGGGAACGTAACAACTAGCGCTCCCAGGGACCTAAATCCGGCGCCAAACGAACCGGCACAGCCAGCTTATCTACCCCCC